AAAGTCAGATTTTTGAATAATCAAGTCATATACAATAAGACCAAAACTACTTCCTCCCAAAGTCAAGTTTGATGCACCAAATAAGCACTGAAAAAGACAAATGACACAACATTGTAGTTTCGAATATATCATTAACATGTGTTCAAAGTAGCCACAGACTTTTCCACATGTGGGTTCCACCTATGCTCTTCTTGCTCACTAAGTAAATTGATCTTTTCATTATTATCTTGTGATCCTATATATACCTATTTCATTCCATAACATTATAACTAAATCATTTCAGCTTTGTACACTTGCATACAAAACAACAACAAAACCAAGTCACACCTCAATCTTAAACCACTTTTTTATGGCTTTGATTTCATCTTTCTTTAATTGCTTTGGTCTCTCCTCAAGCTCATCATCTCAAGTTTCTAATTATGATGAAAAATCATCTCAAACAAAATTTTCATCTTCAGAGAAACCAAAGAGAAAGGAAAAATCCAAGGGAGTTCCAATTGTAGTTTCTTATTTTCCTGTTAATTCTAATCTCTCACGTTTGTAGTTTTAATATGTAAAAAGTGCATTCAACATTTATTTATTCTTTGGTGCTTGGTATTAATTTATTTGATACTTCTTATTTTTTATAAGAAACTATTTGTGATTTGTAAAGAATTAATATTGTACTCTCATACTATATAATAATATTTTATTAGTAACTATTAATGTATTGTTACCGAGTTCCTCTTCCATTCTTCTACTCAAACCTTTAATTGAAAACTAAAAGCTGTTTTGATAAACAATTTCTTTGTAGCTTATACCTATTGATCATACATAGATTCATCTTTAACAAATGAACTTGACAGATAAATTTAGAATATAAGTTTAAGCATAATTTATCTTAGTTCTTTTATGGGATGAGAAAATAATATGTTAATATAGTGATGAGAACCACAAATTACAAAAATAAGGTGTTACATAACACAAAACTATAATATGAATTTAAAATCACTTAACATCCAATCTAAAGTTTTTAGTTTTACTTATAATATATATGCTCTAAAATGTTGATTCTCTAGTGTGTTTTAGAATTGACATTTTAAAATTTTATATAAAATGAATGTGGCAAGTGGATTTCTTCTCATGATAAGTCGTTGTTAGATTTCAAACTTTTTAGGTATTTTATTAAATGTTATCGTTACGCTTACCTTGATAATTATCACTTGTATTAAGATGTGTCATGAAAGGAAATTATTTGAGAGCATATTAAATTACCTTTTTAAATATTTATACTTCAAGCTTTTTTTTTTCTTCACGAAAGCGACAGTTCCTGTTAAATTAGTTCTTTTTACGAGTAGAAAACATTACTCTATAATGAATCCTATCTGTACACATTTAGAATACTACGTAGCTATATGAATGGCATCTATGCCTATTGCTTTATTATTATTTTTAATTCCGCACTTTATTTTTATTCTGCACAACCAACCCCTTAATTGACTTGCCTTAGATAAACACCGTAACAATAGTACTCGATAGATTGACGTTTGGTCTCTGTGGGATAGATAATCTTTTGTATTACTGATGCGTCCGCAAGTGTACGGAAATATCGAAGTAATATAAAAGATTGCCGAACCCACAGAGACCAATGTCAATCTACCGTTATCTATTGCTACGGCGTAAAGCTAAGGCTAATGGAATTTGGAAAGTTAAATGCGGATGAAATTAAATGCACAAGAAATACAAATTTTTGGTTTAAAGAAATGCGGTAAAGGAATATCGGTATGTAATGCTTTAGCTATCGGGAATTCGGCAGGTTACCGGTGCCTTTTTGTCTATTGCAAACACTTTTCAGGAGAACTTACTCGTTTAAAGACCTTCATCTCACGATGGTTGTTGACTCGGGTCATAATTCTAAGGGTCGAATGTACGCTTTCGCTGTCCATTCGGGGTTAAAACTACTTTTTGTAAACAAATGGATTCTAATTTCTTTTAAAGCGCTTTCGCTGTGTCTAAAATCAATGCTTAGTTTTTACTATCTGGTTCTAGCCTCAGCTGTCGCTTGTTGGTTCGTACCTTTATGAATTTCCCACTGTCGTGGCGAAACTACGGTAAATAATTTCTCGCTGTCGCGACGAAGGTTTATTTAGAAATTAAGATTAAAAACTACAGCCAGAAAGGTTGTTTGTAAAAAGGGAAGGTACCGGTTACTATCGAATCCTGTCCTACTAATTCGGTTACATACCGATAAAACTAATTTAGCTAGACATGATAATTAATGCAAACATAAATAAACAATGGCAGCAGAATAATATAACATGCATACTGACAGAAATAAAATAATAATTCAATTAATAAAAACCTGTAAATCGTACTGATCTTGAATCCTTGAGTAGTCCTCCACAATGTCGGCATGATTCTACTTTGGCGAGAATTAAAAGGTACAAGAACAAATAAAGCGATACAAATGAAATAAAAGGAAAAGAAATGGAAAATAATGCAGGAAAGTAAATTTGGCTTCAATGGGAATTTTGGCAGCACTTCGATACATCGAAGGCTCCCTCCTAAACTCTAAATCTAAGACTTATTTATAGGAGATAATTCATTCTTCAACTTCCAGAGATCATGGGTGAGTTATGGAGGGAGTGGGGTAACTTCCAGTAGTGCGCAGTGAGTGGAGAAAATGTAGGAAGAAATCTTAGAGAGAGTGATCGTGGCAAAAACTGATTTGAACGTTAAATGATATTTCATCTGCGTGACGCTCGTAATGGAACGTGACGGTCGTCATACGCATGGCGGTCGTAATGGACCTGTGACGACCGTCATATCAGCAAAATTCATTTTTTCTGTTTTTCTTCTCTCTTTTCCTTCCATTTCTTCATCTTTTCTTTCTATAATCCAAATTCTCCCCAGTCTGCAAAACGAAGTAAATTAATCATATAATAGAACATAAATCAAGATAAATTAATAATAGTCACAAATAAATGCATGTAAATCAAGCCAAATAAACAATATGATTTCGCGTTATCAATTACTTTGACGTTATTCGTGCACTTGCGAATCACCCATCAGTAGATTTCATCATTATGTATTTATCATGCACATCCATAATAATATAATCCTCAACTCAGAGCTATTAATATTACCACTTGTTGCTTTCATTCGTATCTCCTTTCGGTATCAGCATCTTGAGATCTATGCATTACCTAATAGTGTGATGTATCAGTCATTAACCAACGCAGAGCATTAAGTTCCAATAATTATAAAGTAGCAAGACTCCACACCAGTCCATACCAAAGTATGTCTAAAACTTGAACCTAACCTTATCTCTAGGCGCTAATTTCCAAAAGTTGATAATCTTGAATTTAGTAATGACAATCACCTTTTAATTTCTAGTCACACAGTGAGTATATCAAAAACAAGCATTAAGATTAAAGGGATATCAATATTAAAATATAAGTATATGATATATAACAACATGACCTATTTAGTACGTAAAAAACCCCAACAAATATATTTTAGTTACGCTTACTAATGGTAGCATAACTATCTATAATCCCGCGTAACTAATCTTGGAAGTTTGATACCAATAATAATCGATTTTTTTTTGCATTTTAAATGGAAACAAATTCTTAATTACTTCAAGATGATATCCTAGACCTATATATGTCACCAAAAAAACTGTTGCAGAAAAAATTAATTAGTTTAATATATAAAATAAATAATTTAGTGGTAATACTTCATTTGGTCCCAAGTGATCCAATAGAGTTTGGTGTGTTGTGATGTATTGAAAAGGACATTTGTCGTAGTTTATCCAACGTGTGGACCAGGTAAACAAAAAAATTATTTTGTGTTAAATGATGTAAATTGAAATATTAATAATATTAGAAACTTACATTGTGGTGCATGGGAAGATGAAGTCATCGTGGTTGAGAGGCGTTAAAGATGACATTCTCGACAAACTTCATGCTTAGAGAAAGATGACACATCTTATAAAAGTAGATGTATTTTTGTTTGCATTGTTACACAAAGATCTATAAAGACACGCTAACCAAGTGAGCCACTAACTATATTTTCCTGTTTTATCTATATCTGCTAACAAAGGTAAATGTATAATATGCATACTAGAACTACAAGTATCTGGAAATTAAAATAATGCACCATATTAGAACTAAAGTATTTGCTTGCACTTCAAAAATATGTTTCTGAAATGGTTGCAATTATGGAGACACTGGCAACATATATGCATGACAGAACTTTTGTTAATGGAAGTAGAATATTCCATCAAATGTTTTAGACATTTCAACAATGCATCAAAGTTTTTGTGTTCTGCAAACCTATTTTTCAAATCGATCGAATATGGTGATAAGAGAAATACAATAAAACATTATTATTATTCAAAAACTAACGTTGCTCTACAATCCATTATATGTTTGATTTCAGACAAATATACATTTATTAAAAGTGAGTATAATAATTCTAATAAGGGTTGAAAAAATTATCCTTCTGCATAAGATATATCAAAGATAAAAATCTTAAAAAAAAACAAAAATTGTAAGATTTTTTATCAAGATTTCTTTACTTTCAAAATTGTAAGATTTTATTATTTAAACATTACAAAACAATTTTTAATAAAACATCGTTTTTAATAACACTTGATGGAACAAAGAAGAAAAGTCTTATATATGAATAATCAAGTCATATACAATAAGACCACGACTAGTTCCTCCCAAAGTCAAGTTTGATGCACCAAATAAGCACTGAAAAAGACAAACGACACAACATTGTAGTTTCGAATATATCATTAACATGTGTTCAAAGTAGCCACAGACTTTTCCACATGTGGGTTCCACCTATGCTCTTCTTGCTCACTAAGTAAATTGACCTTTTCACTATTATCTTGTGATCCTATATATACCTATTTCATTCCATAACATTATAACTAAATCATTTCAGCTTTCCACACTTGCTTACAAAACAACAACAAACCAAGTCACACCTCAATCTTAAACCAGTTTTTGATGGCTTTGATTTCATCTTTCTTCTACTGCTTTGGTCTCTCCTCAAACTTATCATCTCAAGTTTCTAATTATGATGAAAAATCATCTCAAACAAAAGTTTCATCTTCAGAGAAACCAAAGAGAAAGGAAAAATCCAAGGGAGCTCCAATTATAGTTTCTTATTTTCCTGTTAACTCTAATCTCTCACGTTTGTAGTTTTAATCTGTAAAAAGTGCATTCAACATTTATTTATTCTTTGGTGCTTGGTATTAATTTATTTGATTCTTCTTGTTTTTTATAAGAAACTATTTGGTATTAATTTATTAGTTTCTTCTTGTTTTATAATAGTATTTTATTAGTAACTATTAATGTATTGTTACCGAGTTCCTCTTCCATTCTTCTACTCAAACCTTTAATTGAAAACTAAATGTTGTTTTGATCAACAATTTCTTAGTAGCTTATACCTATTGATCATACATAGATTCATTTGTAACGAATGAACTTGACAGATAAATTTAGAATATAAGTTTAAGCATAATGTCATCTTAGTTCTTTTATGGGATGAGAATAAAGTTTAAGCATAATGTCACCTCCAAAACATAAACATAACATAGTAAAAAATCTCTACCACACTAAAGGGAGTGTCACTAAAAACAAAGTTATTACGACTTCTCAATGCTCCAAACAGAAAGAGCACAAATAATAAAATTGATGTTTTTCTGAGACTCCTTCCTCAAAGAACTCTCAAAACAGTTGAAGAAAACAACACTGTTAGAGCTCCTAGCCATTTATATGCCCAACCAATACTCAACTCCTCTCCAAACACTAGAAGCAAACTCGAACTCCAAGAATAGGTGTGTAGAGGTTTCGACTGATTGTCAAAGCTGACACCCCACTTAGCCAGGTGCTATTTCCTTGCAATTCTCTCACAGAATACTCTTTAAACAAAAATCTGAATTCTTGATGGAATTTTGGTTTTCCACAAAAGCTTCAAAGCTTCAGCCATTTCTCTATCCAAAGAGAGATGAACGCCTCCCCGTAGAAGCCTGCAATAGCAGGTGCTGACCGAAAAAGGATCATCCTCCCCACCGTTTCAAAGTCATTCTGTCCGCTGTGTTTGGTTCAAGGTGTAAAAGAGAAAGCCTCTAAACAAGCTCTTCCAACTCCATATTCTCAACTGAACCTGCAATAAAAGAAGGGACACTACAATTCCAACGCCATTCAAACTCAACAATTAAACCTGTGTCTGCCACACAAACTTTCTAAAAAGGATAGGATTTGAACAGGTTAGGAAAAACGTCCTTAATCGGAATATCTCCTAGCAAGCAACAATACCAAAACGACAACCTGTTTCCGTCCCTAAAGAACCTCTTATAGCATTATAAAAAACATTAGAATTATTGGTTTTGTCAAGCCCTACCGACAATAAGTCGCGACACCAAATCGAATCTCATTTGCGATTAACACATCCATCATAACACAAAATTTCACTTCCTAGATTATTTATCTGCCTCGCATACCTAAACTTGAGGATTCCTCCCCACAGAATTTCCTCATCTGAAATCCATCTCCACTTAGACTTTAACAACAACGACTCATTGAACATAGACACATCTTTAATCCCAAGACCGTTGAGATCTTTCGATAAACACACCCTCTACCAACTTATCCAGTGAATTATCTTCTTAAGGAAAGAGTGAAGATATGAGTTGCATTCAACACAGATTTGATTAAAGACACTTTCCCTCTGATGGACATGTTCTTTCCTTTCCAAACAACCAGCTTTCTCTTTAACACATCAATCACCGGTTTCCATATAGAACTTTTCGCGGACTGTCCCCAACCAAAATCCCTAAGAACTTGAAAGGAAACAAACTCTCTTTACAATGTAAAAACGTAGTTGTTGCAGCAGTGAAACCTGTGTTCAGAATAACTCCATAGATTCTACTCTTATAGAAGTTAACTTTAAGGCCAGAGACTTATGCGAAAGCTATAAGTAAAGCTTTCATATACGATTATTCCAAATTCCTTCTCCTACAAAGACGGCATCGTCCGTGAACTGAACAATACTATGACAAATCCTTTCACACACTTTGAAACCTTTGAAGAGAGGTGAGTCATCGGCCTTCTTCATAAGATCATTCAAACCTTCCATGACTAGAATGAAAAGGAAGGGAGACAGAGGGTCTCCTTGCCTGAGGCCTTTGCTAACCTGAAAATATTTCGTAGCACTTTCGTTAACAAGGAACGACATAGTTCTGTTGAACACTAATGCCTCCAACCACTACTGTCATCTAGGACCAAAATTCATCTTATGTAACAAGTATCTTAAGAAATTCCAACTAACACAATCGTAAGCCCTTTCAAATTCCACCTTCAGAACGAAACACTTTCTCTTATTTGATTCGCAAAGCCGGATCTGATTGATAGCCACCACACCATCTAACATACTTCTACCCGCCACAAAAGTTGTTTGCTTCTTTGATACTAGACACCCAATAACATTTTTCAATCGATTAACTAACACCTTCAAGAGAAATTTCTGGAATAAACTTACCAGACAGATAGGTTTGTAATTACCCAGATAAAGATGGTTGACTAATTTAGGCACGAACATCAAGAAAAAAATGGTAGCTGCCTTCGTTATGGAAGGTTTTTCGTGAAAATCGTTCACAAACATGACAACATCTACCTTCCCGAAATCCCAGCAGTTCTGCAAGAAACTAAACGAGAAACCATCGGGACCTAGACTTTTTAATCCGTCACAGTTCCAAAACGCTTCCTTGATTTCAACTTCCATAAATAGGTCTTCAAGAATACAACTATCTATCTCAGACAGACTCCCCAAAGCCACACCATCTATGACAGGCCTAAAAAAGACATCCTCCTTGAAATTATCATTGAAAAACCTACTGACCTCTCTTTTAACTTCGATCACTTCAACCTTTCTACTGTCTTCAGTATTGACAAACGAGATAAAATTCCTTCTGAACCTAGCTTTCATTACCCTGGGGAAGAAGCGCATTTTCTATCGCCATCCCTTAACCAAAGAGCACAAGATTTTTTCCGTAGCAAACATTCTTTCAAACATTATCTGTTACACATATCATTAGACGCAAGGGCCTTTTCTCAGCCAGCTCAAAAAAGTTCGAGCCTCCAGAATTGGAAGCCTCAAAGTCTAGATCATTCAACTCCGAAACTGCATCTTCTACCTTTAGATCAACCCAACCAAAGACATCAACATTCCATCTCTTCAGATGACTCTTAAGTAACCTCATTTTTCCTTTCAAAATGAAGTCACCTCTACCGGAAACCTTAAACAACTTCCAAACTTCTTTAACAAAAATAAAAAAGTGCTTAGGAGTAAACCAACTGTTATTGAACTTGAAAGGCTTCGGACCCCAATCCTCTTTACAAGCCTTTAGCCAAATCGGAGAGTGGTCCGAAATGTCACTAACTCCAACATACTGCCTCACAGTATTCTATTTATCTGCTAGATCATCAGCCATTAAGAACCTATGAATTCTACTCATCGTTGAACCTGACCTGTTAAACAACATAAATTGACCTCCTACAATTGGAACATCAATGCAATTAAGATCAGCTATGAATTTAAAAAATCCCTCCATCTCTTCTACTTTACCATAAATACACCTGCTTTTCTTTCAGAACGGCTGGACACTGCATTGAAATCACCACCTATTGACCAATCCCCTCTGTTGAACTTCTTCCTCTTCTCTATTAAATCTCTCTATAAGACCAACTTTAGGGCAAGACTACAAGGGGAGTACACATTGACAAAGAAAATATCATACCCCTTCCATTCATCCTTCAAACCTAAAAACCCATCCCCTTTAAAGTTAAGCGAGAGCTTTAAGATGTTTTTCCTCTACAAGATCAGCATGCCACCCGCCACCCCTACAGAACCTGCTTTAGTCTATTCAACATCATCATTACCTCACAAAGAAGATATAGTACCTGAAGGTGGAAAAATACACAAGAAGGGGGGTTGAATTGTGTGAGACAAGAATGCAAATCCGTTTCTTTACTTTTGCTTTCAGAAGATAGATATGATTATGAATAGACATTCAAAACCAGATCGTAAACGCAACAGAACTGAAGCCCGACGCAAACTTGTCGCTTGCGCGAAAATAAGGTGCCGGCATGACAGAAGAGTCGCCACCTTTCTTTATTTATCCCTCAGAGCGGGAAAGGAAACGATCGGAAAAACCTGACGAAAAAGGGTAAGACAAGGTCGTCGCAACTATTGTCTGGGTTCGGGAGTCGGTTACGCAAGGGGAAGGTATTAGCACCCCTCACGTCCGTCGTACTCGACGGGATCCTCGCTTGTTTGTTTACTTGGGTGGGTTGGTTTTATTCTATCTACCTATCAAGGCTGGCTAAAAAAGAAAAGAAAAATGACTCGGTAAAGCGTCGCACTTTATGCCTACGTATTCTCATCAGAGAATGAGAAATCAGAGTCAACGTAGTTCGGCCTACTACGGGTGAAGGTGGGGAAGGTTGCTCGCTAGGATATCGCATCCTATGCCTATGTACTTCCATACTGCATGGAAGATCAGAGCAAACGTAGTTCGGGAAACTACGGGTTATCTCCTGAAAGAAGTGTTTTTTTATTGTATTTGCGATTTCAACCGCACTAGAGACTATGACCTGAGAGTGAATGCGTCGCATGTCACCCAAAGGATACCATACTAAACATCCAGACTGTGGAAAAGAAGCTCTCCCACAATCCTTTCTCAGATAGCTTAAGGCTCGTAACGTGCGAAAGAAATCATTCATGATTACTGTATCTTAAACTGTTTTGAGATGAGAAGAGAACAGGCCCAACTAGGAGGGAGACTATCAAGTCCTACTGTTATCATGCCATGGATTCATCCTATGGTTGAAGTTTGAACAGGGAACTCCTAGATGTTGTCATGCATAGGTTTCAACCTAAAAGTCTATCATCAAATCCTTATCAGAGGAAATGAGAGTCCTAAGGGATCATGTCAATGATACACCAAAACAGACAACAGCATCAGCTTTAACAGTAAAATGCATGCAATGCAAGTGAGGGAGGAAATGTGTGTGGGGCATCAGCCTCCACAAACTCGTCTCGACCTCAAGCCAGTCATGAAATAACAGTAATCATACTGAAACATAAACAACATGCTGTCAAGCAAAAAACAGTAAACTGTAATCATACAGACAAAAGA